GGCCCTTTTATTTTGTTCTTCTTCCCCAAGTAAATGGAGCAGATCCAGAAACAGATTCCGAGCGCCTCAAGCTTTTCCTTTTTCACCCTTCAGTAATTACATGTTCTTAGTTCTCAGTTCCTCTGCTGCCCCTACACAGAAAGTGCCTTGAGGCTAGAGACTCTGTTTTGGTCACTGTTATATTCCCAGTGCTTAGCACAGTGGCTGGCACTAAGTATGAAATGTTTGTTGAATGAATTAAATGAAGGGTCTTGCTCAGACTCATAGAAGCTCTTGCATCACTTTCTGACTGGCCTCTCTGATGGAGTCTGAGACTGAGCAATTAGTCTCCCGTTGTCTCTGCAGGAAATGACATCCCTGTGGCTTCTGGGGAAGGCAACTGTTGACCACCCTGGTTAAGATAATCTGAAAGTGTTCAGTGTTTCCCGTAGTTCAGAGGTCCCCAACCCAGTCAGTGTCCTGTTAGGAACGGAACTGCACAGTGGGAAGTGAGCAGCGGGTGAGTGAGCTGAGCTTCTTCTGTGTTTACAGCTGCTCCCGTTGCTTGCATTACCCCTGAACTCCGTCTTTTGTCAGATCAGCTGTGGCATTAGTCTCAGGAATGCAAACCCTATTGTGAACCGCATATGTGAGGGATATAAGCTGCGGCTCCTTATGAGAGTCGAATGCCTGGTGACCTGAGGTGGAGCTGAGGTGCTGATCTAGCACTGGGGAGTGCCTGCAGATACAGATTAGCAAGAGCAGTGAGTCTGACTGCACATCCCCATCCCATCCAAAGGAAAATTGTCTCCCACAATACTGGTTCCTAATGCCAAAAAGGTTGGGAACTGCTGCCCTAGTGGGTAGTTTAGACTGACTGATTTAGAAAACTTTGGAAATGCACAAATGTACCGTGGTTGTCGAGACTATTGGGTCAGTTCCCTGAACAAAATGAGTCTCTGGACTGTCCCTCAGTCTCTGGATGCACTACCTTGTCTACATGTGACTGAGCCCAGCGCCCTTGTTAGTCAGGATGTTTTCCAGCTACGGGTAATTGGAAGCCCAACCCAATTCAGGGAGTCCTAAACAAGATACATATTGGAAACCCAGAGGTGCCCTGACATCAGGGTTGACCCACTGCAGTGGCCTGAGCTCTGCCTTTGCGTGTGTGTGTGTGTGTGTTGTTTGTGTGTCTGTTTGTCTGCCTTTCCCTGGGCCAGCTTTATTCTTGGCAGGAGCAAGCTAGCTATGGAAGTTCTAGGCATCACATCCCACACGCTAATCAGAAGGAGGGAGTTTCTCCCAGAAGAGTGAGTAGAAGCTCCCAGAAAAACATTCCTTACATCTCATTGATTTAAACTGGGCCACATGCCTTTTTTTAAGCCAACCACTGGCAACAGGAATGGGATTCTTTTGGATCCGTGCTTCTGAAATGTGAGTGTGCACATCGATCACCTGGGAATCTTGTGAAAACAGATTCAGATTCAGTCCATTTGGGTGGGGTCTTCCAGGCCATGCACACTGCAAAGCTTGGGGCCCTTCCATTCCCATGCCCCAGCTGAGGTGCTGTCACCTGCACATGGGGTGCTGTGGGTGAGGAAATACGGGGACACTATGGGAAGAAGGAAGCAGGAGTGACCAATGCAGCTGAGACTGCATGAGACATCTTCACTTCCAGAATGCTGACGTCAAGCTGAGAGCCACAGGCAGTCCGTGGTGTGTGATGGAAGCCCACAGTGCATGCAGGTCTGCATGCTGTCATGTGGGACTCCTTCATGTGTGACCATGTGGACACTGCACTGCACTTCAGGAAATGGAAGAGAAAACAGCTGTGCCCCCTCTAAGTTATCTGTCAGCTATTTTTATTAGTAATTACTTCTATATATCTGACTTGTCTCAAAAAGAACAAATTCAGATTAAATGAATTGAAATGTCCTTAAGTATAAAAGATTTGCCAAGTCCAGCCTTTGTTCTGGGTGGACGTCTCATCAGTCTCCGTTATTAGGGAGGGAGCATACACCCTCACTTGTCCTAAGAGTCACTTGACATGATATCAGGAAGGCAAAACACCACCTATGGTGAATTCCTGCCAAAGCAAATGGTCACAATACCCTTCTAAGTGGTTTTCTGTGGAGAAAGTCATCATGCTCTCTTCATTTGAAAAGGAAGAACTATTCCTCTATTTGTGATTGTTCTTGACAAAAGACACACAGGAGTTCTGAGCTGCAGCTATTTAGGGAAGAGGCTGATAAGACGGAAGGACCAGTGTCCCTCCTGAGGATGGTCTGTCAGACTCAGGCCCAGAGGGAAGTGTGTGGCCAGGTAGAGAGGAGACTGTCCTGAGGTCAGCACTTGGGTGGCTGCCCTCTCCAGCCTCATGTGCAAAGACCACATCACTCAGGAGGGCACTCAGAGGGGAGGTGGCATTTCCCTGCCTTGTCTGCCTGACCCACCTGCCTAGGAACCACAGGCTCACATCTGTGAGATGGGTGGGAGGCTGGAGGCTGGCACAATCTCTGGTGGAGGACAGAGCAACTCTAACTGGCCTCATTGGCATGGGTCACCAACATGCTCGTACTCAGGAAATCACCAGATGTTCCTGGTCTATACAAAGACCCTGAAAGCTTGAGAGATTCTCTGCTACTCTGGGCTAGCTGGGGATAGCTGCTGGACTTGCAGCTCCAGGAAGGCAGGCATGGTGCTTGACATAAGGAGGGAACAGCTGGCCTGTGTCCCGGAGATGCATCAGTCAGCAGCAGGAACTCGGCATCCACTCTCTCAGGAAAAGGTCATTTTGTTGCCTAGCTTTCATCATGTATAGTCTTAATATAGAATGTCAAGTTGTGCCATCTACATATTTAGGACCCAGTGGGCTGCCAAAGATAGAGGAGATAATATTAGTTATTAGCTTAGCTGAGCTCGTGTAGAACACTCAAGATTGACTATTACTCACCGATGGAGTCCAGCCATCCTGAAAAATGCCTCCCTCCTGGCCCTCCTGTAAGGCAAGGCTGTATTAGCCGTGGAAGGAATTTTAAAATGGGGGTAATTGCAGGACCTTCCTTTACAATTTAAAGCGTAGTACATTTATTTTAATTATCTATATCAAATAAAATCATTTTTAAAAGAGAGAATAAAGAGGGGTGAGATAATGCCAAATTGGAAAAATCAAGATAGAAAAAGCAATAAGAGTAAAGGTAGGCCTTAATGTGGCGGTTCTTGACCTGTGGTCCAGGGGTGGAATCCAGGGGGTCCGTGAACTTGGGTAGAAAGAACATGATCACATCATGGTTGATGACCCTTAACTGAAATCTAACACTTGCATCTATTATGAAAGTATCATTAAGCTATTTGTCCACAATAGAAATATTATTATTTTTATATTATAGTATAGTTTTTTTTTCTTTTCTTTTTTTTTTTTTTTTTTTTT